GGGGGGGGGCAGGGGGGAAAGCTTCGCCGATCAGCCCAGTGAGTCTTCTCTTGTCTCCCCACAGCAGAGAGGTACAGTCTCCAATCGGTTCTGGCCACCCCTAAAATGTCAACAGCATTAAAAGAGCACAATATCCTACAAGAGCTGTTCTCCTCACGCCTATGACACAGAAAACACTTGTGTGCAACCCACAGTGGGGCTGCAGGGGGGATAATATTAGGTGTTCATTATGTAGAATTCCTGATACCCTAACTGGGAAGTTAAAGTTAATTCAGAAACTTAAAAATTATCCCACCAATATTAGCATGTGGTTACCAATAATCCATCACTGGCAAGCTCTAAAGAAGATAATGTACCTTAAGATAATGACCTTAAGCTGGAAACCGGTGACCTGCAGAATCCCAGGCCAGCCGGGGAAAGTCCATTCTAACGACAAATTCTACAGTGGCCTCAACCAACCGATCAAACTCACTTGGAAGACGACACTATTAATTTTCTTTGAAAAGTTCAGTGACTCTCCACCTATAATTCCAAACGCCTGCATTTAACCCAAAGCTTTGTGTTCATCCGACTGAATGTAAGGACTGTTTCCTTTTCACGTTACACATGCTTCTCCCACGCTGGAAACAGGCTAATCAAATGGTGCAAAATTCTGACAGCGCTGACCAGTTGTTCTTACTGCTCAAAGGCCATCACGCAGATAATTGTCCCATCGTTAATTACAGTGACTGTCAAGAAAAGCTGGAAGTGGCATTTTTTTTCATGAAAAATAAGGTTTTAGCAATAATACCTTGTATAATAGGGTTGCATAAATGTCTGGTGAGATAATGAAGACCCATTTATTATGTAAGAGACTGTTCCTTGGATTCTGTATTAGCGCAAACATGAGAAAGAGCCAGGGTGCTTTACTCCCCTGTGATGCCCTATAAGACAGATCACAATGGGTGACTATGGAAAATACGCCTCTGGACTGAAGGGTAGAAGCGAAGTTTAATTTCATTATTGAATTACGCTGCACGGAAACCTGGGTGCCCCTAATCCACCGCTTCAGCAGTAACTCAAGCAGTGGAAATGTCATCTTCAACATCACTTGCAATATTTTTTATAACTCTCCCCTCCCCTATCACCAAAGTTTAAGTTTCGGGACACCTGGATCATGCTGGTATTTGGAAGAAAATAAACATTCTAGTAGCAGGATGTTAGGATGCTCTGCCAAGGTGGCAGATGTAGGCAGATGTTCCTTTCCCTTTGCAATCTGCATCGTGAAGTTCAGGGCTCCCATTAACTTCCAAGAAGGCTTGGAGAGCTGGAGAGACACAGTTTTCAGAAAGCGCCGGACACTACAACGCAGGAGTGGGTCACTCAGAATTAGGGGTGACAGGCAGCCTGTGATACCATAGACGAAATAAAACCATGTGTTGTGCAGGAGCTTGAAAGCCCTGCACTATGCTAAAAGAAGGCATCCTCCTAATCATTCTGAGTAAGATTATGGGATTTTAGTATTCAAAGCTCTGCACGCATTTCTAACAAATTAAATACGTTAAACTAGAATTTGGAGAGCTGGGCATTGAACCAAGAGAACAAACTGGAAGCATGACTTGGCATCCCTGTTCCCGTGTATCTCAGTTGCTTAGGCTAGCTTGGAGCTGAACAAGGCAAGGCCCCAAAATCAGAGAAGACAGAGCTGGGACAAAGGACCATGTTCTGCTTCTTCATGATGCCTTTAGGGAAACGGTATCTAAAACACAGGAGTGGATATTTTCTAAGCACAACCTGTCTCCACAGCTGGATTCCTACAAGCTCCTCTAAAATCTTCATACACGTTGCAGATGCAAAGACAGTGCTGATGGTTTCTTCTAATCTTTCCTCTTTCAATTTAAATCATGCTGTGCTCCATCCATTTTTAACCTGAGAATTTTAAGAGCTGAATCCACGGTATAGAAATATTTGGTAAATTTTCTGTAAATCCTTATACCCAGAAAAAAACTCTAGATTGGTGCGTTGTAAGTTTCCCGGTAATTTTTATATATTTTTGAATTAAAATATAATTCGTGGGTTATTTTTAACATCACTTAATTACCTTAAACAATACATCATGAACATTTTTCCACTCATTAGTATGTAAACTGAGGTATTTTTAAGGCAATCACATCCAAGAGGTTATTTCACAATGTAGCAGGATTCTAGTATGCCATGTACCATAATTCACTGAAAGCTTTTTGAATGTCTGAATTTTTCCAACATTTTGTTATTACAAAGAGTGTAAGTTTGAATATATTTTGTGATTTTCTGTCCATTGATGACTAGTCATCGAAGACAAATTTCCTAAAATAAATATGCTGGGTCGAATGGTATACAAAAGGGTAAGGCTTCTCATATATCTTAACAATTTATCCTGCCTGAAGAGTTGTGCCAACGAGCCCACGCAGACACGCCAGCAGCTGAAGTACATCTGAGCTCCTACACATCCCCATCAACGCCGGACGGGTCTTTTCCATCTCATCTCTGAGAACTTGATAGGCATTAAGGGATTATCAAGTAAGAAGCATCTCATTTACAGCTTTTCTTTGACGACTGGTGAGATCTGTAATTCTCTCTCTGCTTGAAACACTCTGTGCTAGACAGAGGAAACCACAACATTTATCCTCAGTGTCAAAGAACTTAACTAATGTATCAACCCCTCAGAATAGTCTATCTTTCCATCACCAAATCTTCACACTCACCGTATGGGTATTGATCTTCATCTCTGAAGATTTCAGACCCATCCCTGGATAAACGGTAAGTGAGCCAGTGGGCATTGGGAGAGTCAGGTGGGCTCCAGGAGAGATTGATGGCAGAAGAACTTTGAACTTGTCCTCTGGGTGGAGGTTGCTGGGATGGAGCTAAATTACAACAGAGAGAGCATTTATTAGCAAAGGCAATCAATACGCACACAAGTAACCTGAAGTAAGATATCCAGCAAAGAGGTCTTTCTGATTCAGGATTACTTTATCAAGAAGACATGTGGTTGACCAAGACATTAATAAACAAAGGGGATATATCATGGATTTCTAAAACAAAGCTTTTTCTCTGTAAGCATAAAGCAAATCTGTAGGTCAGTGCAGCTGATATAAGTGTAATTGGAGGGGAGGAAAAAACTAAAAGTTTACATTCAGCACTTTTTTGAGGAGCTATCCAAGGATGATGAACACGAATTTTCTATTAAATCAATTTAAAATTTGACACAAATAAGGTCCATTGACACTTGAGATGCAAGTAGCATGATTTGGGGGGGTTTCTGCAAAGGAAGTTTTCCGTTGCATTAAACAAAATGCCTCAGCTTGCTTCTCGGAGCACAGTGTAAAAAAAGTTAATGGTTGGCCACCAAATAGCGATGGCTGTTATGAACGCTAAGTGTCCAAATATTACCAAGAAACAATCTGAAGGTACTATGTGACTATGCCAGCACCTGTTAGAGGTGCAGCGGTGGTTAGAGGTAATATGAGTGCTCCTATCAGGCACATAAGGGCATTCATTGCACTATCTTAGGAATACTTTGTATAATATAAACATGCACCGTTTTCAGAGTAAGCTTTCACTTTTTCCCTACAAACATAACAGAGAAAAACAACATCTAAAAATTTGCTAAGGACACTTTCCCACCAGGTTAACACGATGCCTAACCCGCCCTCCATTCAGAGAAACACGCCCTACTCAGGCCTCATTAAATGAGACTGGAAGATCCAGGTTGCTGTGTTCCCTTATTTCTTAAAACCGTTCATCTTTTCAAGAAAACTTAAAAGGTCATGTACAGAAACAAATCAATCCAATAATTCAAACTAGATACACTCTCACTAGTCACCTTTAAATCTCTTTTTCACCTTTGGAATTTGCAAACTGGCCTATCACCGGCTAGGAAAGTTTACAGACAGCAGACCTATCAAAGCCTGTTTTCATCTGTCCCTCCCAGCAAGGAGGGTGGCTGTCATTTTAAAAGCATAAAACAAACACGGAGAGGCAAGAAGTAAATCACACAAACGGAGAGCATGTTATCAGACAGGGCCTAACGACTTCATTTGAAATCAAATCAATTCTCCTGCTCTCTGAAAATTGTATCTCAGGATTCCTACGCCAAATCCCCATCATAAAAAAAAA